TCAGAGGGTTTTATCCTAGCAACAGAATGCAAAGTAGCACATGATCCGGGGGTCAGCCTTGACAGAGGAGAGTGATGAGCCCTAGAAAGGAAAGGTCCCAGAGTGCTGTCTCCTCTCGATGTCCCCAGCTCTCTCCCCTTCTCCCATGTCGGTTCCCAAAGGTCACAGCCCTGCACCACCCACGAATGCCTCTCTTCTTGCTTTGGTCTCACTCCTCGGCCACTAGAAACTGGTCATCCCACAGTCCCAGTGACAGGCCTGCAACTAAGTCCCTTGTCAAAAACATGGCAGCAAGGCACCAGGGCAAAGTGACCTGGGCTGTCCAAAAGCTCTCCACCTCACCTCTCAAGGTTCCCTGGACCGGAAGGGAAGATTACCCCTCCCACCACAACGAGGACTAGAGAGTTACCAAATGTGTTTGCTTCCAGCCCCAAGAAGGGCTCTTAAAACCCTTCCTATAATAAACACTGGCAGTACTCCCTCTGTTTGTTTCTCAAATGGGTTTTTCCATTTCCCCCAAACCGTGGAAGCTTTGACTGCCAGGGGCCTCTATTTTTGGCTGAGTGTGCTTTACTTACATATGGGAGATCATGGTGGAGGGCGAGCGTGTTCTGTCTCGTGCAGTCTTGAGACTGGGTACACAGAATTTCTCTCCAGAAAACAGGTGGCTCACTGGGGAGAGATGAGTAACAGTGGCGTAGCAGTGCACACACTCAAAAGTGACTAACCAGGAGTGGGCAGCGTGTAGAAGGCACACAGGCTGCCTGGATCAGCCACCCAACAAGCAAGTGGGGTGAGACAAGGCTTTTGCCGTCCTGGGCCTCAGGCTCTCTAACAAATTGAATAATGCCTCCTGGTTAATAGCCAGGAGATACTTTCAGAGTAAGTGTCAACCTTTTGCTGTGGTTTAGTCTGAGTACATCCCTATGGGTTCATGTGTTAGCAGCTCTGCCCTAGTGTGGTAATGTTGAGAGACAAGTGGGACCTATGGAATAGGGGCGTAGCTCAGTGGTAGGCTGCCTGCCTCAGCCGAAGCCCCAGGTCAGATCACTAGCATCACATACAACTAAGTGTGTCGGTGCAGGCCTGTAGTCCCAGGACTCAGGTTAAGGCAAAGAGAATGGAACTGGAGGGCATATCCTTGGCTCACAGTGAGTTTCCAGCCCAGGCTGTCCTGTCTCAAAACAATAGAGGCAGGACCACGTGGAAGGCCCTTGGATTATGTGGGAAGATGCTACCCTCAAGAGATTAAGGTGGATCAGTCTCACAATGTAGCCCAGGCTGGCCTGGAACTCACAAAGATCCACCTGCCTCTGCTTCCCCAGGGCTGGGCTCAAGGTGTGCGGTACCACACCTGGCACTAAGGTAGCTTTCGTGACCCCAGTTGTCTTTCAAGAACAGTTATCATAAAAGGTTGAGCCAAAAGGACCTGAAGGGTCCCCCATAGGAAGAACAACAGTATCAACCAACCAGACCTCCAGAGCTCCAAGGGACTAAACCACCAACCGAAGAGTACACATGGAGGGACCCATGGCTCCAGCTGCATATGTAGCAGAGGATGACCTTATCTGGCATCAGTGGGAGGAGAGGCCTTTGGTCCTGTGAAGGCTCGATGCCCCAGTGTAGGGGAATGCCAGGGCGGTAAGGTGGGAGTGGGTGGGTGGATGGAGCATCCTCATAGAAGCGGGGGGTGGGGTATGGGATAGGGGGTCTTCAGAACAGAAACTGGGAAAGGGGATAACATTTGAAATGTAAGTAAATAAAATATCCAATTAAAAAAAAATGGCTGAGCCAAGCCTGGTCTGTCCTGTCTCACCGTGTGACCTCCCTCTTAGACTCCCAATGTTGTCATGTTAGCTGTTACGTGAGCAACCAAGGAGGACCTCAACAGGGCTGGCAGCATGATACTTTGACTTTCAGCTTTGAAAACCTTGAACAAAATTCATTAGTTTTTGTTATAAATCAACCTGGGATGTTTCATTGTAGTGAGAACCAGACCAGAACACCTCTGCACAGTACCACACACTCACACCTAAGCCCAGAACCTTCTCCCGCTGTTTGTCTTTATTTTAGAGACAGGGTCTCATTGTGGAGCCCAGGGTAGCCTCAGACTTGTGGTAAGCCTCTTGCTTCAGCCTCTCCAAATATGGTGATATTCCACCAGGCCCAGCGCCTTTCCTTTTCTTAAGAATAGGACTGTGAGCTTCTTGGAACTTTAGACCTGTGCTCGGATCTGCGTCTGTCAGGCCTCTGCATGTGAAACCATCATCTCTTGCTAACACTTGTGCCAAGTGACATCATATCTACCTTCTGAAGGAACTCTCCAAAACTAGACCTGGTTTGTCCTCCTCGAGCGATGCTGACCTCAGATCTGCATGGCAGTCTGCTTCAGGTCGGGGGCAGAGTGTAGAAAGGCAGAGGCTTGGGAACTAGTCTTTTCTGCAGCTCTGAAGCTCAGAAGTTGTCCTACCCTGACTGCCCCACCCCCTTCCCCACCAATCCTTTAAGGAGCACCCTCCCCATTGTCTGCCAACAGGCGAGTGACACCTCTGACCTCCACCTGCCAGGCTGCCCCCTAATGTTAACATCAGCCAGGTCATTAGAGTAGACAGTGGGATGGGCTTGGCCCCCTGCACAGCAAGTCATTTGCTGATGGCTTTTATTGCTGCTGACTGTCAGTTCAGCTCTGATGTCTGGTCCAGTTGGTGAGGGAAGCTGTCCCTGGTGATAGGGCCCTTGATTAAATGGTACTAACTACCTCTGCTGTGTACCAAGCACTTCCATTGTGTTTGACCTTAGGATGGTGGGGCAGAGCAGAAGGCTCACACTGCTCAATCACGCATGCTTGGTCACTGAGTTCATAGGAACAGCCGCACAGGAGCTCCCTGCTGTCTGTGGAGAGGACACTCACCTCTGCAGATTTCCTCCCTCTAAATGCCTGTTGCTGCCCTGGGATCTCAGAGAACCGTAATTTGCTCCCTGTGAGTTCCTGAAGCCCACCCTATGGCTTGTCCTCCCTCAGGGCCCTTACCCCAGGATTAGCCTTCCTTGTCTAGCTTCTCTCTTCCTCCCACATCCTGATTTTCTCTCTCCTCTCTTTAACCCCCTCTTTCCTGCCCTCACCTTTGTCTCACCTTTCCTCATTTTGATGTTTGAGCCAGGGTCTCTGTATTGTCTAGTGAGGCCTCTGGAGTTTGGTGATTAGCTGTGTGTTACCATGGACAGTTTTGAGTCCATTTCTTACCCATCGTTGCCACAGAGAATGTGTGGAACAACATTCTAGAAGCTTTTCTCTCACTTCCCAAGAAGTAGGACCCAAATGTCCTGATGAAGGAAAATCTTACCTTCTTATACACATATCACTTCAACAGCCCAAAGGGGAAGAGCTGTCAGGAGCCAGCAGGTCACTGGATCCCACAGTCAGACACTTAGCAAGATGGCTGTCCTGTGGGTGCTCAATTCTTAGGAGCCCTTCTTCTTTTTTCTGCCCAAGTTACATCTGTTCAAGAACCTTCAAGGCCTGCATCTATCTTTGTGGAGAGCAGCAAACTATGACCAGTGGGTTAGATCCAAATTACCATTTACTTTGTCTTCACCAGCCATGGACTCTTGTTTACCTCTTTTCTACCATCTCTTCCATGAGGTGAAGCTGATGCTGTAAGAGGGACCACAAGGCCTACAAAGCCTAAAGGAGCCTCTGGCTCTGTATGCTGGCTATAGAGCCCGTGCCTAGAGAACAACACAGACTTCCTCATCCTCCTCTTAGCTGCTCCAGAGCAACTGCCCCAAAAGCTCATATCTCATGAATGAAGACATCTACACCACCATTTCTGAGCCACCAACCACAACTGAAAGAGATCCCTAGTAAGGTACCCTACTTCCCTAGGTCCCAGACAGTGGTACCTGATCTTTGTAGGTCACAGCCTGTTCTGCGGGACTGCTGACGTTTTGTGTCGACAGGGTCTCACATAGCCCAAGCTGTCCTCCAAGTCACTATGTAGTGGGTGACCATGAGATTCTTGTCCTACTTTGGCAGCATGACTATAAACGGCTTGTCCTCCCTCAGGGCCCTTACCCCAGGATTAACCTTCCTTAGAAATAAAGAGCTTACTTGGCTTTGAGGTTACAGTGCATCGTCCAGGGACACCAAAGGCAAGAACCCAGAGTCAATTCCGAGTTTGTGCAGTCCACTGAGCTTGTCGACTGCACGGTTCACTACTGGGGAAGACAGACATTCAAGCACCAGACTGACTCATGTTACTCAAGGGGCCCCAGGGAGGGTGACAGCCAGGCTCTCCAGGGCTCCTGACTCAAAGTCCAGGGCCCAGGCCTTTCCTTGCAATGTTGCGGGTGAGTGTGAGTGGCCATAACCATGGGGGTTCCAGAGGATTCCTGTGATCTCATGACCTCTTTCAAGCCTTGGAGTGTTCATGTGGAGAGGTGGCATGATTAGTCTGTGGTATTGAGGCTGTATGGGAACAGGTACCCCAAAGTGAGTACGGGGTGGGGGACCAAGGAGTCTTCCCAAATTCTGTCTCTACTGCCTGCTTGTCTTTGGTGGGCCTTGCTGTTCAACCAGAGCCTGTGCCATCATAGGATGCCAACCCTGCCATTCAACCAGAGAGGCCTAGCCCACAGCTTGCAGGCCTAACACGTTCCATATGTGTTTTCTTTAAACTATTTTCAATTAATTTCTCATGCTTAAAAATACCCAGTAGGAATATTCTAAAATATTAGGTCTCTTGATTTTCTTACACAGTGTGTGGACTGGCAACAGTTGGCCTCCCTTGGTTCCTGGCATGGCATCTACTGACTGGGGTGAAGGAGTTCCATCTAGATGGGGAATGGTCATACTAGTTCCCCAGTAAAAGACACACCCCAGCCTCCTGGGCATCCATCTCTCCCCACTCTTGTCCTCAAGTGTCAAGGGGGACCATGCCTCTCTATCTTCCCCACCCTACGCCTGCAACTCCCATGGGAGTCATGCAGAGAACAGAGAAGCTAATCCGAAAGACTTTATTTATTCTAAACAAGGACCCCTGCGTTTTTATACTGAGGCAGGAGTTCTCGGATTTTGTGCCGGGGTGCTGAGATGGCTTGGACGATCTTCAAGGGGGGCAGGTATTTCTGGGGCGCCAGAAAAACAGGATGGCGCTGTTTCACCTTCTTTTCGAGGCTACACAAATCCAGGAACAAAGCCTTAGGGTCGTAGATCTCTTTCTTCTTGGTCTGGACTGGGATGAACGGCTGCCGGTTGAGGGGCTCCACCAGTAACCGCAGGAGATCCTTCCGAAAGATTGTCCAGTCGTTTTCCTCCAGGAAACTCTGACACAGGTCTTCATCACTGAAGGGCAAACACAGAAGCTGCGTTCCAGGGCCCCTCCTGGCCTCTGCCCTCCCTCCATGCTGAACGGATGTTTCCACTGCTCCTTCTAAACCCTAAACATACGCTCTGCGCCCTAGCTCTGTTCTCCCCCACACTTCTCTACTTCCTTTGCCTTTCTACCAACTCGGTCCCTAAAGTCTGTGCTCCCCTGCTCCATGGCCAGGAGCCACAAGTGGGTTAGAGTAAGTGCCCGAAATGTGGCCAGCGTGACTCAGACTCACAACCACAAAGCAATGTGAACTATTACTTTTCAAATGGATAATGTGTTGAAATAACACTTTTGATATATTGAATCTAATAAAGTGAATTGAAGTTAACTTTTGTTTTACACTCTATAATAACCTAGCTAAAACAGGGAGAGTGATGTATGCCTGTAATTTCAGTACTTCCAAAGCATTCACAGGAGGATCACCGTGAATTTGCGAGTAGCTCTGGGCCACACAGGGAACTGGAGAGTAGTCTGGGCTACATAATGAGACCCTGTCTCAAAAAGGCAAAAGAAGGCCAGCAAGATGGCTCAGTGGGTAAAGGTGCTTGCCACACGAGCCTGACTACCAGGGTTCATTTCCAGAGCCCATGGGAAGGTGGAAGGAGAGAACAGACTCTACAAAGTTGTCCTCTGACCTCTGTAGGAGCTCCATGGTTCATATGTGCCCACACATACACATCATGAACACACACAGACATACACACAATAATAAAATAAATTGAAAATAATAATAGACTATTGGAAAGCTGCTCATGGTACATGCTGGTAAGCTCAGCACTCAAGGGGGCAGGAGGAGTAGTTTGAAACTAGCCTGGTCTATACAATAAGTTCTAGGACAGCCTGAGCTACATAGCACGACCCTATCAAAAAAAAAATGTAGCTATCAGTCATCAGTTTTGGGGGAGAGGTCAATAAAAACTACAGTGGGATGAGGGTGCCTCACAGCGAGACACCACTGGTACCCAGGAGACAGCCACTGTCAGCAGCATGGAGATGCTCAGAATCTGGAGTGAGTCAAAGTCCCCACCAATTAGCATTAGGGATGCTAACTGGTGCAGCTGCTTTGGAAAGCAGCCTGATAACTTCACAGAAGGTTAAATATACAGTTACCACACCATCAGCAATGTTCCATCAAGAATATACTTAAGAGAAATGAAAATAGGTTCATATATAAACCTGTGCAAGATGTTCATTCACAACAGCATTGTCCATAGCAGTAAAAACAGAAATAACCCAAATATTCAACTGATGAACAGATAAAGTCTTTCTCCTCAGTCTCTGTCTCTCTGTCTCTTTATCTCTCTCTGACACACACACACACACACACACACACACACACACACACACACACACTTATTCTTTTACATGAAATGCCCAGAACAGACAAATCTTGAAAGAAACAGATGAGTGGCTGCCCTGGGCTGGTCAAGGTGTCCTGATCCCACCTCAGCCCATCCCTCACAGCAACTCGGGGAGAGACAGTAAAGCGGGATGGGCTCAGTACTTATTGGCTTGTTTCCTTCTGATACCACAGGAAGAGAAGGGCATTGCCAAACTTCTTCTGCCTTATTTGGACTCACTTGTCCAAGGGGGCTAGCCTAATACCTCTAGAGTAACCTTGAGCATTCCCTGGCTAAATAACATTGATCATGATGAAGGCAACTGCGAGCTCTGGAGATCAACCTAAGACAATACCCAGCAGTCAGAGTGGGCTACACAGACCTTTAAATATCAGTAATATCCCCATCCACTCATGAAAGCTAACTGTGGGCATCTGTTTTCAGTGCCATGTTGAGTGATACCATGTTGGTAGCTAGAAATTAGCTACCCTATTCCCGACTAGGCTAGGCCTGAGGCTATGAGCAGTGGTGTGCTCCTGCAGCTGCTCAACTCTGACCACAGCTCATGCTGGCCCAAAAGCACTGGCTCTGGCACCCACGAGATGCCAACATAGGAGATGGCTCTGCCAATCTACCACCCTGTCTCCACAATGTTTGGCTAAGCCCAGACCATCCCGTCATCCAAGCGGTACCCGGTAGAAATGAGACTCTAATGCTTAAAGATTATCCAAAGGCTTTATATGTTTGGTAATGCTCAATTAACAAGATGCTCACACAATTAGAAGTGTTACCCAATTAACTAACCTAGATATAAGTTGTTACCCAGGACGGTCTGGACCTGTGGTTCTCCATGGCTCCTACATCCTTTCTTTCCTCCTAGCTCCCCTCTTCCTCTCCTTACTCCTCCCACATTAGCTCCTCCCAAATTATCGAGTCTCTTATAAACTGTAGTGGGGGAAGTATTCTGCTACAAGGGTTTCTCTGTGTAGCCTGGATATCCTGAAGCTTGATCTGTGGGTAAGGCTGGCCTCAAACTCAGAGATCTGCCTGCCTCTGCCTCCTGGGTGCTTGGACTAAAGTCAAGTGCCACCACACCTGCTACAGTGGCTGAATCTTTAGTTTTCAAAGCTAACTCATTTCATAGCCATGAAGTACAGGCTTGAAGAGGACAAGGGAACTTGCCAAAATCTATGAGGGACAGGCACATAATTACACATCCCTACAGGACCTGGAGTCCAAGGTAGACAAACTTGCATGTCACCTACAGGCACTGATGGCCATGCTGGTTTCTAGTCTATTTTTTGGGTAAATAGTATCTAGCTCCAAACCCCAACCTCTCCTATACTGTAGTGTGTCATGACCTGGGCATTGAAGGGGTAGTTCTCTGGTTGTCTAGCCTATGACACTCATAGGCTAGATGCCCCAGTTTAAATACAAAGCATTTAAGCTACATGTTGGCCCTATTTCCTAGGTGATTGTGCAGTCTAGGAGACCCTGAGTTCAACAGTTAGTGAGGTTACAATCCTGTCTGGCAGCACTAAGATGGTACAGCAAGGCACTTCCCAAGACCACAGGGGCAACTGCTCCAAACAGCTGCATGTTTCAGCCAAAGGAAAACTCCAGGAGTTTGAGGTTCACAAATGCTGCCCCTGTCACAGGCATCATATGAGGGGCTGAGGCTCCCTACATCAACTGTCCAGGAGGTTGTTCTGGAAGCCCATTTAATAGAGACACTCAGGATGCCGACGAAAATGGCGCCCTGACGCTGGAAGAAGCCATCAGTGATTTCCAAGTTGTCTCTTTCACCAACAGCCTGAAGCTTGGCCATACCCACATACAAAGTGTTCTTTGCTCTGCTCATGATTTTTCTTAAATCTACCCAGTTTCTTTTGCTTTTTTTTAAAAATTTTGAGACAGGGCTTCATGTAGCTCAGACTGGTCTCAAACTCACCAGATAGCTTTGAACTCCTGATCTTCCTACCTCCACCTCCCCACTGCCAGGTTTACTGGCCTAAGCTGCCATGCCTGGCTTCAGTGGCTCCTACTTATATATCTAACTGCCCTGAGCAATGAGTCTGTCCAGTGCAGGGTTTGGTAAGCTCATCATATTGTTTCTCTAATATATCCTAGAAACAGTACATAAATATCAAGACTATGTGTGGGGGGGCAGAAGGGGACAAGGGTAAGTCAGAGGGATAGAAGAGAAAATAAATTTTGTTTGAAAATGCCACAATGAAATCTAATGCACGTGCATTGATTTAAGCTTTTAAAAAGTAAACGGCTAGGGCTGGAGAGATGGCTCAGCAGTTAAGAGCACTGATTGGTCTTCCAGAAACCACATGGTGGCTCACAACCATCTGTAAAGAGATCCAATGACCTCTTCTGGTGTGTCCAAAGACAGCTACAGTGTACTCATTTAAATAAAATAAATACATCTTTTTAAAAAAAGGCTAAATTTTTTACATACAAAAAAAACCTGAATGAGCCTGAGAATACCCTGCCGTCTGTCTAAATGAAAAAAGTGGGGACATGTAGCACTGTTTCTAACACACACACATACTCACACACACAATCATGTGCGTGCACGCATACGCACACGCACAAACACTACACACACACATACACCAAATACACATGCATACTGCACCCCTCTCCTGTTCCCTCTCACCCTTCCCCCTCGCTGCCCTCCTTGCTAATGAAAAGCCTTAGTCAGTGGATCTAAAACGTGTATGCACGCTCTCCGCACTGACCTGGGATAGTCCACGTCCATCTTTATTATCTTCGCTTTCGTCTCCTCGTCAACCATGTCATAAAACTTCTCTTTTCTTACTCGTATCAACTCTGATCCCAAGCTCAGAAGGATGAAGGACCGAGGTTCTCGCTGATTTTCTGGGAGAAAGGCCTGGTGAAGGCCCTAAGGAGAAGTCACAGACCGTGAAACCTCACAGACAAGCCAGATCCAGCAGCAGACTTTCTAGGTGGGAATCATGAGGTCAGGGAGGGGAGGAGAGACCCAGGGCTCCATCCACTACCCACCAGCACAGTTCCCAGACCTGGAACAAGGTGGGGTCCTGTACAGCCCTGCAATATCCCAGTACCACACGGCATGCAGGGTTCTGCTCTCGGGCCTGCTCACATCGGTATTTGAACTCTCCCTGTGTCCAGTCTCAAATTTATCCATTCATTTTGAGCTGGAGTCCTGCTCATTTGCCCAAGCTTGCCTGGGTCCAAGGCCATCGTGCCTCAGCCTGCTGAGCAGTGCTAGAACAGGCATAACACCATGGTGCCTGGCCCTGGAGCACTTCTCTCTGCTGAGTAAACCCATTTTCTCTTCTAAGACTCAAAAGAGAAAGGCTGGTTGTCTTCTCGGCCTTTCCTTTCCCAGCCACCTTCACACCATGGACCATAATGCTTTCTCAATGTCCACTGACTTTAAGAACCTTTGGACCCTTTGCTGCGGATCCTGTGGTGTTCCTGTTCTTGAGAATAAGTCCTCGGTGGTCGTGTATGCAAAAGTGATAGAGACTACAGGTGAGCCTATGTGCTGTCCATACAGTGTACAGCACCTATTGACAGAGTCTTTGTACATAGCCCTGGCTGTCCTGGAACTCACAGAAATCCACCTGCCTCTGCCTCCTGAGTGCTGGAATTAAAAGTGAGCCACCATGCCTGCCGTCAGGACCCCTTTAAGAAACCATCCTGAGCAGGCTGAGTTATGACGAGAACAGGAGGTGATGGAGTTCAGATCCAGAGTCTCACTCCAGCTTCTTGAGACTCAGGCAATGTGGGGAGCAGATATGAGTGACCCCAGAGCCTCCAGTGCCCAGAGCCTGCCGTCCTCAGTGGGCACCATGGCCACTCCTCACCGTTGCTAGGCCTTGCACAGAGACCACATGGCTGACTTTCAAGGGACCTTACAGGCTGGAGGAAATTTACACAAATTTAATCCTCATTACTGCCTCGGGGCATAGGAATTCTCACCCCCCAACACCCCTCATATGGAAAAGAAGGCTCAAAAAAGGAATTTGCTGGTTCACAATCATGCAGTTCCTAATCACAGCCTTCACAATGGTGGTGGCGATGATGGCACTGTTACTGAGCAGCCTCTAAGCCCCTGGCTTCCAAGTGTGGGTCTTTGTTTAAGCTTCAAAAACTAACCTCTGACGTAGCTCCTACGTGTATCTGTGCATCCGCATTTTATAGCAAAGATGCTGAGCCTAAGAGAACTGGCTGCTGTCACACAGCACAGAATCAAGAAACCTCAGATTTGACTCTGGTTTGTCTTCAGAGTCCATGCTTTCTGCCAACACAAGAGGAAACAGGCACAAAGAGGTTAAGGGTTTGCCCAGGATAATGAGACACAAAGTAACTGGATGTGACCTCTGAGGGGACAGCACTGTCCTGTGTGGGCTCTATCCATACCTGAGTCACATCAGGTCATTTCTTTAGCTAGACCCCTAAAACTGCTCCCAAAGACCCTGGGGATACCATGAAAGTCCTCATTTCTGTTGTCAAGGCCTGGGCTAGCAAACCCTTGCCCAGCTATCCAGCCTGGCCTCACTCCAGACACCATACCCCTAACTTTGTGTGCACTGTTTCAAGCCACCCTGCCCTCCTTTCTAGTCCCTGCCTCCTTCCTGCCTTTGAACTTTCTGCCCTTCAGTCTGGAACATTCTTTGTTTAAATATCACTACCCCATGTAAGATGTCTCTTGGTTTCCAGTCCACACGCAGCCACAATGTTCAATTATTTCCATCTTTGTAACTCGTCTGTTTATCGCTTGTCCCTCACTGGGTCATGTGATACAGGAGGCAGGAGCCGGGTTGGTCTACACTGGCCCACACTGGCACCTCATGCTGTTCTTAAAACAGGGCAGACATGCAAGAATCTGCTGAATGAATGTGTATGCACAGGAAGTCACACGTTAGAGGCAGCAACTGGCCTTGCAGAATCTCTACACTTCGTGATGAGGTCACAGATCCAAAGAAAGGAAGTGATTTCCTCAGTGCCACACAGATTTTAGCAGAACACGACAAAAAGAATCTTGTGCCTGCTTCTCGGGGAAGCTCGTCCCCTACACCTTGAGATCTGAGCCTCTCCTCCAGTCCCCACCTGTTTCCTGGGCATTCTAGCACTGGGGTGAGGGGTGTCCTCTATGGCAGGGACTCAGTCACTCCTGCTCCTTACACAACTTCTCACCAAGTCACCATCTGCGCATCTTCCATGCCTCCAGCTGGCCTAGGTATCCTCAGCTACCATCTTGGTACCCTGTGCTGGGAGGCACAAATGGAATTCGGAAATCCTGACACACGGCAGAAAAGCAGGAAGAGTGTGTGTGTGTGTGTGTGTGCACGCGCACGCACACACACACACACACACATGCATGCAAAGGGGTTGGGGGACTGGGGGCGGGGCTCGAAACTGTGATGGAAAGAGCAGCTGGAGAGGAAGATCCTCTGCCTGAGAAAAGATATCTCTGGAGCCTTGGCGCTGAGCCTGGCTGCAGAAACGCTGAATGAGACCAAAATGATGTTCTTTAAATATCTCAGGCCATCCCATGGCAAGAGAGTGGAGTTCTTCTGTTTCACCATGGATGGGGGTAGGTGGAAATAGTTTAAAGTTACCGGTTTACTAAACAAAAGGATAACCTTCCCAAGAGGTCAAACAACAACAACAACAACAAAACAAAAAACCCTTAAGTCAGTATTGCTGGCGGACGCTGAGGACCCAGGCACCCTGACAGACACTCGGGCCAGTGGGAAAGGGCATTCACAGCCGTGATGACACGTGGAAAGGGGGTATAAGGATGACCTTGAAGATGTCCTAGCTGAGGCACAGCAGAAAGGACCCAGTGATAGAGCAGGTTTCCAGCTCCAGGCAACCATATACAGCCCCTTCCCAGGTGGGCTCTGGCTCTGCCAGGTCCATGCCTTTCTACCTGTGTTCAGCCCCATACTCATTATGGGCTAAAAGGTGACCGAGTCACTGCACTAGGCGTTTCTTTTGCTCTATTGTTTTGTTATTGCTGTTTGTTCCTGAGACAGGATCTCCCTATGCAGTCTAAGCTGGCTTCAAACTCATGACCAGCAGTCTCCCAAGTACTGCTGATTAGGTAGGAGCATCAAACTCTGCTTGGCCACATTGGACTTAGATTTCCATTGGATTTAGATTTACTTTTGTTTTATTTTTAACTATGTGTAGATGGATTGGCGGTGCGTGCATGTGTCTGTAGAGTACAGAAGAGGGTCTGTCCAGAAGAGTCCGGGGATACATTGTGGATCCCCTGAGCTGCCTGATACGGATTCTTGGAATCAAACTCAGATCATCCGAAAGAGTAGTATGTACACTTGACTGCTGCACCATCTCTCCAGCCTCTGAGATTTATTATTATATTTTTATGTGTCTGGGTGAGTGAATGCCACATGTGTGCAGGTACCCATGGAAGCCAGAAGGGGGCGTTAGATCCCCCAGAACTGGAGTTAACAGTGGTGGTGAATCACTCAATGGTGCTAGGAATCAAACTCAGGTCCTCTACAAGCACAGCAAGAGCACTTAGGGAATGAGCCAGCTTCCAGCTTCCTCCACTCCCCATCTTTTTCTCCCCCCAGTCTGCTCCCCTCCCCCATCCTTCACTGCAGTGCTAGGGATCGAACCCAGGGCCCCTTAGACAAGCACTGCAGCACTGAGCAGCAGCAGCCCCAGCTACACATTTGTTTCTATGACAGCATCTCTGTATACAAAGTAATGGGCTTCATCACGACATCTCTCTGTATGTGGGCGTGTGCTCTTGTGCACACACGTGCACGGAAGTCTGAGGTCAGTCTTAGGTGTCATTCCTCAGGAGCCACCCACATTAGTTTGTGTTGTTGTTTTTTTGAGATGGGGTCTCACTGGCCCAGAGTTTGCCTAGCAAGGATCCACCTGTCCGCACGTTCTCAGAAGCTCTACACCCAGTTTCCTCACTCAGGCTCTGGCTCAGGTTCAGGGTGTTCATGCTTGTACCTAACGTCTTGCCAGTGGAGTTCTCTCCCCGTTCCCCGCCATCACGACACTGTCATAGCTATGTGCAGGGATTATTTTTGTTCATTCCCTTCCCCCCACTTGCCTGGGGGGGGGGCACCTCCTCATCTCCAGCTGGTTCCCTCTCTTCCTCAGTTACCCACTCTGCTTCCTTGTAATACATTAAGATATTCTGTAAGTCTCTCAAAGCCTTTTCCTCTCCTCTCATGGTCCCCAAACGCCTCAAAGATCGACCACAACATCCTTATCATGTATTTGTTTTCTTTACCTTGGAGACAGGGTCTGACAGTGTAATCCTGGTTGATCTAGAACTCACTGTCAAGTCCAGGCCAGCCTCAAACTCAGAAAGATCTGCCTTCCTTTGCCTCCCAAGCACTATGATTAAAGGCATGTACCACCATAGCAATGTTGTAGGCCCTTATCTCTCAAAAGGGAATACTATTTTTCTTTTCTTTTTTCTGATTAATTTATTCTTGTTTTATGTTCACTGGTGTTTTGCCCACAGGTATGTCTGTCTGTGTGAGGGAGTCAGATCCCCTGGAACTGAGCTACAGACAGTTGTGAGCCACCATGTAGGTACTGGGAATTGAACCTGCGGCCTCTGGAAGAACAGCCAGTGCTCTCAACCACTGGGCCATCTCTTTAGCTCCATTTCTTTTTCTTTTTTTTTTTGGGTGTGTGTGTGTGTGTGTGTGTGTGTGCACACGCACTTGCTGTCGTGCACAGGAAGAGGTCAGAGGATAACTTTCGAGAGTCAGTTCTTTATTCCTACCATGTGCTCCAGGGACCTAAGTCTGTTTGTCAGACTTGAGCTACAAGCGCTGTCACTCCCTGAGCCATCTACAACCTAACACGATTTCTTATATCATCTAGTCTAGAAAGATGTGTTTCTAAGCCTTTCTGCTCTTTGCAATACACTCCCAGCCCATCTGTGCTGTGCATCAGAGTGAAGAAAGCTCTTGGTACACTTACCACAACATCTCCATCCTCTGTCTTGTGGACCTTCATGAAGACCCCCACTATAGCCTCCTTGGGGAGTTCACCAAACTTGGTGTTGACCATGGGACATTTGACTGAATGACCATACCTGGATCTGAAATGTGACAGACTGCTTGTCAGAACTGTTTTTACAGCCAGTTTGCCAGACCTTACTGAGGATGAAAGCCCTCCTGGAGAATTCACACCTCCAAAGAAAGTGGGAAAACTCAAACCCTGAGGGAGCCTGCCTGCTGCTGTCTGGGATTAGAGATATGTGAGAGAGACTGGACTTGGAAGTCAAGGAAATTAGGGACTATTAGTCGCCAGAAGGAAGCTTCCCGAAGAGCAGATGACCCTGTGCTGTTGAGCCAGCCTGGTGGACAATAAGTCCAGGCATAAAGTTCAGGTTGCCTAGTTGGAGCTCAGTCTGTTTAATTCAAAGCTCCTATGGGAAAGGGATTTCCAACAACGAGAGCTGCCTATGAAAACGCACTGTTCAGAGTGTACACCTGGGGACGCAGTAGAGCTTGCCGATTTTTGACAGGGACACAGAGTAGAGGTGGCCTCTCTGTTTATAAAAACAAGTTTCTCCGGTCAGGCTAGAGACCCTGGCCTTTGTTCAGACTGGGGTTAATTTTACAGACAACCCTGTTGTTGCGTGTTTGGTTTTTGTCTATGGCAGCGGAGGAGAAAAGTTAGGCCGTTTAGGTTAGACATAGAGAAAAGATTATCAGCTGAGTACAGCTGGAGCTCAGCTAATATACAAGTCAGGCGTCATTCCTGCCCCTCCGAGGAGGGCACAGGCCAGGTGCCTACACAGCAAGCAGTCCCTTTACCTTTTACTTCCGGGTCCATGTTGTCCCTCCCCACCCCCACCCCCGTGCAGACTCACCAGAGACACCAGGTCTGTTTTATTTCTACCTTTGGAAAGCTGGAACTAGGAATACTCCATAAAAAGAAAACCAACCTGGAAATCATGGGTTGCCATTCTTATGAAGGCCAGCAGACCGGAAGTGTTGGTGGAACAAACCGGAAGTGTTAGTGAATAAATGCCAATGCCACCAAAGAAGCAGGGAAGCAGGGACATTGACACTGATCCCATTACTGATACCTCTTTTATTCTTTTCTTTTCTTTTCTTTTCTTTTCTTTTCTTTTCTTTTCTTTTCTTTTCTATTTTCTTTCTTTCTTTCTTTCTTTCTTTCTTTCTTTCTTTCTTTCTTTCTTTCTTTTTTTTTAAGATAGGGTTTCTATGTACCTTTGGCTTTTCTGGAACTCCCTCTGTAGACCAGGCTGGCCTCAAACTCACAGAGATGCGCCTGCCTCTGCCTCCTGCGTGTTTGGATTAAAGGTGTGCGCCACCACACCCGGCTTTACTATCTTACCATACGTGGGTTTCAAATGGGAGGGGGAAAGTGGGCGGTGCTCCTGCAAGCCCAGGTACATCTTTTTCTGCCTTTCGAGTCCTCAAGTGAAGGCCAAAGCCTGATCTCAGTGTGGATCTGTCCCACGCCATTTGTGAGACTCAGACTAGACAAAAGGCAGATGTTTAACCAGCTGCTCAGCCTTGAATCCTGGCTTTACAACTTCCTACCTACGTAACCTTGAACAAGCAACTTTTTTGGTGAATCTTAGTTTTCTCTCTTGAAAAATGGAGTGACAACCACAGCACCTTTAGGGATAGATAATTTAGTGCTTGGCACTGAGCATTCTGTCAGCATTAAGTATGACTTAGTAATATTTTGTGTAACTACTGGCTTACAATGACTCTGAGACTCAGAAACCACTGCCTACAAAGCATAGACTTAGAGAATTCAGATCTCTTGATCAGGGACATAGACCCAAAACAAGTGACCAGACTGGGATTTGAACCTGGATTGGACTGACTGCGAGGCAAGCTCTTACCTGTATACTAGAGCTTGCTCCCATAGGTGGGCAGTCTCCTGAGGGAGCTGAGTCAAAGGGCCCAGCAAAATAGACTTCTGCCATAGCCAGAAGATCCTTCCTGCTTTTTGAAAGTCTTTAAACATAATACTGTGTGTCCCCAAGGAAATGAATGGCTGATGCCCTTAAGTAGCCATGTGAATGAGAGGCAGTGAATGCAGGCCTGGATACCAAACTCCAGACTTTCCTGAGCTGTCTTACCCCCACACTCAGTGTCTAGGTTGACCCTCTGCACTTCTGCCCCTCCTCAGCATCTCTGCCTCCTGCATACGCACATCCAACCATCCTACCAGCTAAGAGTTCAGCTTACTTGATCTTTGGGCCCAGCAACTTGGGGAGACTATTTTCTGTGTTGTTGATCTTCCTGTGGAAGGTTATTCCCTGTTGCTCTCTGGTTTTCTGGAGACGCAGAAGTTTCAAATAAGTGAAGTCTTGTAGAGGATATGATTTGATCTGGAATTCCTTAAATCTCTCCCTTGGAGATATTTCTATTAAGAGAAAGCACAGAAAAACATACCAATGGGCCTTGTGCAGTGTGGAACGATGGAGAAACACCAGAGATACCTGCCTGAGCTCTGGTGCATGAAGGAAGGCAAGGAGGAGGTGTGGGGTGGTACTGTAATCCCAGCACGTGGGAGGATTGCTGGAGGAGTCTCTAGGACTTTGAGGCCAGCCTTCCAGGCTAGCCAAGGCTACAGAGCCAGTGACAAAGAGGAGGAGGGAAAAGGAGGGAGAGGAAGAGAAGGAAGAAGGCAGGTTCCATAAACTGCTCTCACTGGCAGCCCTGTATTAGATCTCTACGTCATTACATCTAGATAAAAAATTAGTTTAATGTAGGAGAGATGAGATTAAGAGCAGAGAATTTAAATTGCCTTCTAAAAGGCTGACACGTAATTTGAACTCAGTTCTATTTGATTCAAAGCTCCCCTCTTTCTACTAATAGATCACATTTGGGGATACAGATGTAGCTTAGTTGGTTGAGTGCTTGCCTAGCGTGTACAAAGCTGAGTTTGATCCCCAAGGACCCACGTAAATAGTTGGGCATAGTGGCTTGTACTTAACTATCTCAGCCCTGGAGAGAAAAAGACAGACAGATCCATAGGACTTGTGGGCCACTTGGCAAGCTCTATGCCTTAGTAAAAGACTCTGCCTCAGAAAACAAGGTGGGCCAGTGTGGTGGTTTGAATATGCTTGGCCCATAGAGAGTAGCACTGTTAGGAGGTGTGGCCTTGTTAGAGGAAATGTGTCACTGTGGAGGTGGGCTTTGGAGGTCTCCTCCCATGTGCAGGCTCTACCCATTAGAGAAGAGGGCTTCCTCTTAGCTGCCAGAGGATGCCAGTCTCTCCTTATTGCCTTCAAATCAAGATGCATAGATATCACCTCCTTTTCCAGCACCATGTCTGCCTGCATGCTGCCATGCTTCTTGCCATGAAGATAATGGACTAAATCTCTGAAACTGTAAGCCAGGCCTAATTAAATGTTGTTCTTTATAAGAGTTGCCTTGGTCATGGTGTCTCTTCATAGCAAGAGAAGCCCTAACTAAGACAGCCAGATTTGATGGCTCACTTCTTTAATCTTCCTTCTTGGGTGGTACAGCCAGAGGGAATCTCTATTTCAAGTTCTGAAAGACAATAACAATAAGGAGAAAGAACCACTTTTCATGATGAAAACAAACTATGGGAGTTCATGAACGTTAACCCATCCTTGGAAGACTCCTTTGGCCAGAAGAGAAAGGTAAACATGGCGCTGGAGAGATGGCTCCTCAGTTGAGAACACTTGTTGCTCTTGCAGTTAATCTGAGTTTGACTCCTAGCACTCACAAGGTAGCTCACAACTGTAACTCCTCCAGTTCCTGGGGATCTGATAGACACACACACAGTACACATACATGCATATAAAGTAGATGGGTCCCTTTTTTTTAAAAAAAAAAAAAAAGGTGAACACATCTAGGGAGTCACAAAGAACAAACCATGCTACTAGAACATTGACTAAGCACAAGAGGAATAGGAGAACACCAAACAGTACAAAACCCAACAGAAACACAAGAGTTAATGTACACCTGTCAATAACAACTCTGGAGTTCAATGACATAAATTCTCTAATAAAAAAGATGTAGACTAGTAGATTGTATTTAACTGGAGAGATGGCTCAGTGGTTAAGAGCACTGACTGCTCTTCCAGAGGTCCTGAGTTCAATTCCCAGCAACCACATGGTGACTCATAACCATCTGTAATGGGATCCGATGCACTCTTCTAGTGTGTGTCTGAAGACAGCTGCAATGTACTCATATAAATTAAAAAATTATTTTAAAAAAGTAAACTGCATCTATTTGTTGCCCCTCCCCCCAGAAATAGACCAGAAAATGAAGGGGTAGAGAGAAACATTCCAGACAGATGGAACTAGAAACCAAGCAAGAGATAGCTAGTCTGCCATGCTCATGGATAAGCAAGTTCCTATCCCAACCAAGGGGAAAGATAGCTGAGATTGTCCTGTGTCTTTGACATGTGACACATGTATGCCCATATTCACATACATGAACATGTACACATGTATGTGTCAGTGTGTCTATAATCTCAACCTGTAATCTCAGCACTGGGGCTGTGGAAATGGGAGGATTCCTCAGGTCTGGTACCAGCCAGTCGAAACCAATCTGGTGAGCTCCAGGTTCAGGGAGAGATCCTGTCTCAAAAACTAGGATGCTGGACAATAGAAAAAGACACCTGATGTTGACCTATGACCTCCACGGGCACACTACATGTACATACACTCCAGTACGCACTCTCATATAGACTCCTACTATACATCTACTGAAAGAAGGCCGGCAGGATGGTTCAGTGGTTAAAGGCACTTGCTGCCAAGCTGGATGACCTTAGTTCAGTTCCTGGTGGAATGAGAGAACCAACTCCCAGAGGTTGTCCTCTCACCTCCACGTGTACAAACTACACACAAACACAAACCTTTCACTTGGAATTCCATACTGTATTAACTAGTTTTTGGTGCTGTAATAAGAACACTTGGCTAAAGTAATTTAGGGGAAGGTTTGTTTTCTGCCTCAGTGTGAGGTGGTGTCGCCCATCTTAGTGGAGGAGGCACAGCAGAGCTTATAGCAACCAAGATATACCTAGGACTCCTCACACCCCAGTGGGTCAGGAAGTAAAGACATTAGGCAAGGAAGTAGGGCAATCCTGTAATCCAGGGTCTGCCCCACCAGTGACACACTTCCTCTAGCCAGACTCTACTACTTCCTAAAAATTCTATAATCTTTCCCAACCCTGCTACCCACAGAGGACCATGTATTCTTAAAGGTTTCTATAGGTTCCATAATCTTTCCCAACTGTGTTACTGGCAAGGGACATACGAGTTTATGGGAGGCCACTTCATACCAAACTGTCACAGATATGCAGAAATTGCCTTTTCTCTAGCTGACAGGCTAGAGAGGTGGCTCAGTGGTTAAGAATGCTTGGATCTCTTACAGAAGGCACCCACATGTGTGGCTCACACCTGCCTGTAACTCCAGCCCTTACCTCTATGGGTACCAGCATGCACGGGCATACACACACTCATATACATATATGTGTAAATTGAAATCAAATCTTTTACAAAGGAAGTATTCAGTCACAGAAAGGCTGAGGGAACTTGCCACCAGGGGCTGGACAGATATCTCAGCAGTTGGGAGCATGCACAGCTCTTGGAGAGTTACACTCACCAGGTCACTCACAGACACCTCCAAGCACCAAGGGATCCAGCGCCCTCTTCTGGCCTCCACCGGCACTTAGACACACATCCAAACAGACACACACATACACACACACACACACACACACATCATAAAGAATAAATTACATTTTAAGAGTGGAATACAAAAAGTGTTATAGAAGTCCTCCAGGAAGAAGGAGATGATACTGGATCTAAGTCTGGATCATACAAAGGAATTGAGATTGTAAGAAATGGTAATCCTGTGAATTAACAGTTTTTAATTTATTACGTTCATTTAAAAGGTAAGTTTACTAATGGCCACACATTTCTACGTTTTTAGCACATTCGAGAATATAGTGCCATGCCTTGGAGGAAAGAAGTAAAATCCACTGTGTGTGATTCGGTGTGTGACAGCATGTGACAGCAGGCTGACAGAAGCTACAGATGTGTAACAGTCGTGTCACGGTCATGAGGCAAGCACTAAAATAAGACAACACAGAAACAGCAAAGAGCCAACAAGACAATCAGAGGAAATCATGTGAGAGACAGTCAGAGGAAATCATGTGAGAGA